GCGACCGAAGAAAACGCATACATCCGCATTAAAGTGGGCACAAATGAAGACCACCTGGCATATATATACACAGTGGAAGGGAAGTTGCTGACGAAGGAGAGAGTTCGGCCGAAACCGACAGCAGACTCAGACCCGAATAAACGAACGCTAGACGATTGCGAGTCAACCTGAAATATACCGAGGGGACGTGCAGAAAAGTGACGCTGACACTCCACTTCTGGCGATGGAACAACAGAATGTGTAACCGCAGTAATCGTCGACCCGATCACAGGAGATCGATTCCATACGCTCCATGGGATGTGTCGGAAGAGAGCGCCGAGCACGCTAATCGGGCAGCACTAGAACAGCTGTGGAACTTGATACCAGTAAGTGAACGTCAAGATCCCTAGTCCAAGCGAACACATTGATCAGTATGATGCGACATCGAGCGGAAATAGATGAAGCCCGTTTCCGACTAACAAGAAGAATGGAAAATGGAGCGTATAAAACGGTGTTTTATGACGCGAAGAAAAACCTTTGTGGGGAGATCGTCACACAGGGACAGACGGTTGAAACACCGCACTTGGAAAGTCAAGCCCAACATCCGGCACGAAGAAAGTGGAGTCGGAGAGATGGCAGAGGCCTCCGTAGCCGAAATGGCAGGAACGGAGAGTACCCAGCGACCATCGAAACAAGATGAGCCAGAAGAGGAAACAGATGACGGTGAGTCGGAAGAGGAATCGACCAACGAAAAGAAGATGACGAAGCAGTTGAGGACGACGATGCCTCACCAAAGTTGTCGTTAAACCCTCCAAACTCGTCGCCCGAGTTGCCCCTAAACTAGAATGAACCGTGAAAAGGTCAAGAAAGGTGACTTTTAAAAAAACGGAAGGAAGAAGAAGATAAGAAGAATAGAGTGGTGATGAAAGTGAGAGCACAAACACCCGGAAGAAAAGGGAGAGAAAGAAAAGACGAACCGTCGTCTCATGATGTCGAAATCTTGGACGAATCAGTCGGTGAAGTGGAAGAGGTCATCCACACCTATTATTCCAGAAATTCGTTATCGAATCGGCAACATCAAAGTTAAAGGTCACCAAGCCTGAGCCGTCAACATCCAAAGGAAAGGTCATAGCGGTAAAACAGATCGTACCGGTCGTCATCTCGGCATCTACTACGAAAGAGCGTAGGGAGAAAGGAATGCGCGAGAAAGCGAAACGGGAAACGTCCCGCGAATCGGAAGTATCGGAGGTGAGCCTCCCAAGTACGTCGACGGTTAGTACGAGGTCACACACGGACCCGAAAACAACCAGATCAAGAACCGTGGAGCCAGGAAGCCTAGCGGAGGCTCTTGAAAAAGGGAAAAAAGCAAAGAGCGAACCCACAAAGCCGAAAAAGAAAGGAAAGTAAGCCAGGAAAATTGATGCATTGGCGATGGCCAATTACATCGAACCGGATGGAGAAAGTGAACTCGATTACTCAGGAGATGAAGCAGAATTCGAAGATCCTGACAGCGACAATTTGACCACAATTGACGAAATCATCGACGCATTCGACGAAGCGGAGAAGAACTTTACACGGATAAGAACGACATCAGTAACGTCGAAATTCAGAACGGGTCTAAAGAAATACCTGAGAAAAGAAATGCACCGAAGTTTCACCAAACAGAAGTTCGATGTGGTATTAGAATATGCTCGGAATGCGGGAAAACTTCTCCAGAAACACCCGAATTTCGCGTATAAGGCCAAGTTATTCAGACCGTCCAGTTCGGATAAGTCGTTGACGACTCCAAACGAAGATACCTCTATGCGAGTAGAAAGGGCGATCGCGGGAATGACAAGCCCATTGGGGTCAACGAGTCACCGGATCAGCCAATACATCAATGCCGTTTGGAATGACGGGAAAGGGATGATTAAGGAAATCGATACAGCCACTGAACGTGTATTGCCAAGGCTGATAAAACAGAATATCCTTTCAACGACGAACGCACATAAAGGATATCCGATCCGATACACGAGAGTAGGACTGATACCGCCGGAAAAACAAGTCCATTGTAATATGTCCGACAGTCAGGAGATGGATAAGGCACCATCGGGTGGAGATCCAGCAACTCCCATATTGAATCGGATTGCGCAGCTAACAGCTGAAGAAGAAACCGCCCAGGCTTCCTCTAAGAAAGTGACGAAAAAGAGAGGACCTATGGATGTGGAATCGGAAGAAAGTGACGATGATGCCCCCATCCAAACGCCTTTGGAACCGGTGACGGAAAAGTCTAAAGGTCACGAGACTTCAGAAAAACGGGAGAAAGAAAAGGTCATGCTCCCGATGGACAAGGCAGCGGCAGACGCAGAAGCAGCCTCCGCGCGACAAGTGTATCAGAAATCATTGTTCGCACCATTGAAGGATGCCTTCGAGAAAGAACGGCCAAAGTCGGCGGGTGAACTGGGAGGTCATGAGACTTTACCACAGGAAGAGAAAACGGTTGAACCGAAATCTGCCCAGTCATCATCAGGCTCGTTGGCAAAATTAAAGATAGATGAACAGGCGACCGATGCAACGGACTCGGCAATATCCCCCCAGAAAACAGAGACTAGCGGTACAAAAACAAAAGAGCCGACAGATTACACGCTAGGCGCGCCCTTGGATGTGACTAATCGGACATGGGGCGAAGTCCAGGCTGCACTCCAGAATATTAGGGAAGCCGAAATGCTTGGCGCAGACTTGAAGAGACAAGTCGCTGAAAATTCGAATGGAAGGTCATCACTCAGCATGACCGAACGGGTCTTGAAAAGAGCATATAAGGAAGGAAAGTTGGGATGCAAATATAACAAGGACAACAAAGTTATTTACTACCTTCCGAAACAGGGCACGGACCGCACGCCCAGACTGAAAATGGAATTGGAAGTCTGGAAAATAGCCATCACAGATGTGGCCCTGGACGCCATCGGTGGTACCAATGGAGTGTCATGGAATGACCTTTCGAATTTCATGGCCGTCCATTATGAGTTGGGAGAATTGAATATTGAGAACGATAAAGAATGGATAAAGAACGCCGTTGAAGCATTGGTAGCAGATAACGTGCTTCACATTAACCAGGATGGCCGAATTGACTTCAAGCCGTATAAACCGCCGGCGAAGGAGTCTGAATGAATGGGACGAGTGTAATATGCAGCGAGTAATGAACCCTGCATATTACAGAAAAAGCATAAAATAGTTAAAAACGAATGAGAAACTTTACGGAAAATTGAAAGTGAAAAGGTCAACTTGAGGAATAGCGGCGATAAGACTAATAGAAAAGGTCACAGGAGTCAGAAAGTGCTGATAACGTGAGAAAGGTCACCACGTTACAGTGATAGAAAGGGCAGCAGGAGCTAGGAAAGTCTCAGCTCAGTAACGGAATAGGCGTAAAAATGCTAGAGAAGCCTTGATAATGGATAAGATGGAAAAGATTAACGTGGAAGAGTTACTATGATGGATTGTTTTCTGATTGCAGATTCAAAACGGAGAAAATGGCACAGAAAGGTCACGCCACCCCTAAAAGCTCAGGACCCGCATCAGAGATAAACAGATCTACGGGCTATAACCCAAAGTGTCCGGACTGTTTACGGAATAATAAAAAGGTCGATAAGAAATTCCCCTGCTATGCATGCATTCACAAGTTGGGCGACCCACATATGGTTTCACTCGTGGGGATTACGGAAGCTAAACGGGGGAACATGGACGTTTTTCGAAACCTCATCAGCGCGAGGAACTATGGCAGCATCCCAGTTGAGGAGCGGATGCTACTCGAGGATCGCTACCGGGAAGCGATCCAGAATAACGAAAGCGGCTGGGATGAGACTCTGGAGCCATTGAAATGCCCACAGACGGACGCATACCGGAAGAAGTTTGAGGAAGAACAAGAGAAGATGCGGCGGCAACAGCTGGAGGACGAACTCGGGCGAAGATCAATGCGGCGAATCAAAGGCGAGCGAACAGGCCGCACGAGAGAAGCAGCCCAATCCGTCGAGTTCGACTGTACCGACAGCCAGCCTCAATGACGACGAAGCACAGCTGATACGCCAGTCGCTCATTATTCAAATCGATACGCTGACGAGCGATCCGGCGGCCATGCAACAAGACCTATTTGATGCGCTGTTACGGGAAAAGTTAAGACTGCAAAAGGGTTTTGCTCCGGCACCATACATAAAGAAAGCAGTCGAAGAACGTATGGAGGAGCTGCGTAAATCCCGCCAGACCGAGAGCAATGTTTTACAGGCGCTCAGAGGCTTTCGACGAGATGATGTGTTTACACGACCCCGTTCGCCTCCGCAGAGAGAAAGGTCACGCGGACATTCACGAGAACATGAGCGGACTTCTGAAAGACGAAGTGAAAGGTCACGTGAACATTCCCGGGAAAGGACACGGGACTACCGAAGCGAAAGGTCACGCGAGCGTTCTCGCGACAGAGACTACCGTGGCGGAAGAGGATGGGTGCGCCATGGAAATGAGATAACGGAGACAAGCATCCAACGAAAAATCGACACGGCAAAGATTCTAGCAGCGACTAGAGGACGTGAAGAACAACGGCGTGCGGAGTCATTCCGCACAGAACCTGAAAAGGAAGGTCATCAGGTGCCGTTAGGAGTCGGATTCCGTAATCGCAATGTTAGAATGTCAACACCCGAAAGGTCATGGGACAAAAGACGCGAACACACGCGGAATCGAACGCCAGACCCACAGGACAAACGATGGCAGGAAAGAGCCAGATATTATGCGGGGTTTGAATCTGGCGCCAGTAAAAGGTCATCGAGTGCAGAAAGGGAAGACTCACCCCCGAAATATCAGCGAATGGAGTCAATAGTCCATGTAGTGAATCCCATCGTGAGTGCGGTACAGGAAGATGACACGATGGAAGGGCCCGGCTCAGTCGCAGAAGCGCCTGCGGCGCAAGAAGATGACATGATGGAAGAGCTCGGTTCAGTCGCAGAAGCGTCCCAAGATAACGTGATACACCGAAGAAATGTGGTCCTTGACAGTGACCCCCAACCATCCACATCGAAAGGTACTGAACCGCTGCAGAGCGGACGACGCGAACAAGAAAGTCGGCGCGAGCCGGATGAACGCGGTCGGCGAACGAATTCCCGATTCAATAACCGACACCCCGACACAATCGACATGGTATACGATATGCGCGACACCGATGAACAAAAGACGGAAATCTGCCGATACATGGGGATTGAAGACGATTCGGCGGATGCGAATAAGATTCACACAATTCTGAATCAGCTGCGTCAATTTTTATTCGATTCGGGCTATGCGAAAGAAATTAAAGAGGGAGTGGAACAAGGAATTTTCCGTCAGTTATACATTCCCCGCGACTCAGCAAGGGATTGTTACCTCCCTATCCGACGAAACGGATTACATAGCCTTTTGGATCTGAATTTGTTGGACGTGCCACTGGATACGACCGATCCAATCGGGATGACACAGTTTTATTATAGAGACTATCCCGAACGACAGGAATATGTGGCTCAGTTCGTGTTACGACATGTGAATCCAGCCTTTAAGTTGCTCGCAGCAAGAGCATCGATAGGATTACAAGTAGATCCTAAAGACCATGCCGCAAGAAGGATGGGGCAGAAGGTCTTCGCTGCGAGATTGGCACATTATAAGACACAGAACCAGTTGGTGTCTAACACTATGAAGGACGATATCCCATTGCTCTTTCGACCTCATGTGGCGAAACTGGGTGAACCCATGGAACATGTCGGAATAGCCCATACAGCAAGAAAGGCGCTTAAAAAGTGTAAGATACGAATGGAAAAGGGCAATCTTACACAACGCCATGCCTCCCAGGTTGAAGAGAGGATTAATAAGATCAAAGACACCATGGGAAGTGACTACGTCGAACCCTTTGACGGAATTGAAATGTACATCGACGAGTTCCTGGTGAAGAAAAGTGATCGACGCCCAGAACGCGCCCCTAACCAGATAGGACGACGCGGCTTAAGAAACCAGCAACTCCGCGATAACCTCGCTGACGTGCAACGAAGATTGGCGGATGACCCTAACAACCGGAGACTCCGGTTGGAAGAGAATGACGCACGCCATCGGGTAGAGGCGGTTAAACGCAGTCGCCAAGGGAAAGGTCGCGGTCAGCGAGAAGTTGACCCGGAAAAGGTCATGGCAGTTGATTCCACGGAACCAGTTGACCGAACGTCTGACCGTAACCAACCAGAAAGTTCTAAGAAGCGCCCGCCAAGAGATGGCGAGGACGATTCAAATGAAATGGAATAGTGTTGATCGTTAGGATCACACTATTAAAAGGGCGTCTACGGCAATTGTCGGTACGTCACAAGAATGAGAAATGGTGTTGTATAAAGGCGACGTGACATATTAACATTAACTGCATTTGTGTATTTGTTGTTTTCAGCGTTTATAGCACAGAACCGCAAAAGGATAAAGAAATCATGTGGAGCAGCGATTGGGGTTGAAATTGATTCGGTCTATAAAGCCGGCCCCAAGGGAGTTGCTACGGCAATCAGCCGGCTCTCCTCCTGAAGCGATTCAGTGTTATAAATTTGCAAGAGAAACTACGGTAATCAAGCCGGATCTCTTGAATACGAAAGTGGGCCACAAGCGGCGAAAAAGAGAAAGACAACAGGTGGAAATTTTATTGGGGTAAACTTGATGCGGCCGTCAGCCGGCCTCATTAGAGTTGCTACGGTAAACTATGCCGGCAATCTCTCCAAGCGAATCAGTGTTATAAGTCAACGAGAGAAATAGCGGTAACCAAGCCGGATCTCTCGTACGGAAGCTGGGCCACAAGCGGCGAACAAGAGTAAAAGATTTAATGTGGAAGCGTCATGGGGTAAATTTAATGCGGTAGTTAGCCGGCCCCATCAGAGATGTTACGGTAAACTCTGCCGGCACTCTGGCCGCTCGAGACATATTGAAGTTGGATGTGCGACGGAGAGGTCAACTTAAAAGTTTTACCAGGGAGGCAAGCGAAGAAATGCTTGAAAGTCGGCAAAAATCGGCTAAGTTCCTCCATGACCTTTAATGGAAGTTGAAGAGAAGTTGGATGACCTTTGGGATCATTACCGCCCAAGAGAGTCACCGTATTAGAATTCAAAACGCATGACCTTTTGGGACCATTAACCCAAATGAGTCGCACATCTCAACGGATCATCTCGACAAAGGATGACCTTTATCAGGGAGGAAGCGAACTACGCTTGTCAACATGACGTCCCTCCATGACCTTTATTGGATCTCATTTTCAAGTCGTACGATGATACGCACCTTATTCCAAAGATGAAGCAGTATTCCTAAAGTCGTACATTGATACGCACCAGATTCTCAAGCGGATTGTGATGAAAGTCGCACTATGGATGCGCGGAATTGCTCAAGCGAGCGGAATGGGCCAAAGTGCGGAAAACGGTGGACAGGACCTGTGACCTTTACGAGTCAGAAATGGAGGATCCTAGTCTACATTTGATTAATAATTTTGTTGATCTTATAACTGTTGATCTGTTTTTGTATTAGAATTGATATGGAATAGTATTTTGATACAGATCTCTTTATTTTCACATAGTGCATCTGGAATTGATGTGATAAATGGAATAAGAGAATTTGATGTTTTTGAGCACGCACAGACACCGGCAACCGTCTTTTCGTGGATTCGGGAGTGTGTCCAGCCTCAACGGAGCTCGGCATCCCCCCAGAGGCATGTGAGACGAGGCTCACTAGCGTTCACGTCCGTGGCGCTAGGCGCTACGCCTTTGGATTACGGTCTGTGACGTGTCTCGCTTTGATTGGCTTGAGTTGTGTTAGTGGGCGCGGCATAGCACGTGCTGCACAGTTTTGCACAGTGTGGAATTGGCTCCACGTTTTACGATCGAGCTGCGCCGATCACTTGTTGGTTTCTGGTCTCCAGACTTTCAATATTATTAAAAGTCAGCTATTAGCGGTGCGACGTTTCGCGATTCCGCGTAGTTCGCTATACTTATCGCATAGCTCACTCCACGGGATAGATTCCGTTTCTGTCTCCGTATCTGGATCACAGTTGGATCTAGCATTAGACTGTGTTCGACTGTGTATGTCTTGTATATTGTAGACAGTACATTATTATGTATATTGTAGTCCACCGCACGGTTACAGTACGTAATAAAGGTCCACCGCACGGATCTCGTTATGTGAACGAGTGATCGAGCTACCAATGCTGTCCAGTGCGGTTGATTCGTAGTTTTACCATGTTCTCATTTTTCGCACAAAATGTTTAAGCGGATTAAATGCAAACAAATTTCCGGATGGACTCAAGCTAGGCAATTTCCTACTGCCAGTGTGCCATTATTAATTTCTGAACACTCTTGCTCCTAGGCACATAGAAGAATGCGAGCCGAAATGCTGAATCATGATCTTATGAATTGTTTTTCGAAATTATTGGAATTATTTACAGCTTGTGCAGTTGTGTTTACCTTAATAGCGTCAGACGTTTAACTAATACCTACTTTCCTATACCTGTAAATGGGTAAATACATATTGTACTTACTGCTTGATGCCACGATTCGTATTTTATTATTTTTAACAGCAGGGATTTTTCAGGTTACTACATGCGGCATATTACGCGCCAAAAACGATCAGAAAAGCCGGCAACGATTTCAGCCACTAAAAACAGCGCTGTACAGATAATCATTGGGTCCTTGGTTACACGCAGCCGCACCAATTCCCATTTACTACCAGCGGCAGGCGTATTTATTGTGCGCATTGGCCGTTCAGTAGTAGTATACCATTTCGCCGGCATCCGCTGTTGCTGGCAGCTCCTCAGGAATCAACAGCCGCGTGCGTTTGCTTGTAATTATACGCTTCGAAAATTTACACTTTAACCGTTCATTGTGCGTCGAGCAGCTATTATAGTAATTAATTCATGCAATAAATTATGGTGTGATCATGTTTTTTTGCTCACCATCCTGCTACCGTAACCTGATGCATATTAGAAACACTTTTGTAGTACACCATAAGTGTTATAACAGTGTTATTTTATCAAAGTTATTTACTCTCACTCATGATTTGTTGTGTTGTTTATCCCGTGACTTTAAGTACGAGGAAACTGTGTTGTAGTTTGCTTGGGGAATCTGGGATTGACTGGGATAGAACATTCACACTTCGAATGCCGACGTCCACCGGCCGACTCAAGTGGCCTGATGTCATAATGTCGTGTGGACGGAGAGTGTTGTGCGAACGATGGACGACCGGCGCTACTAGCTTAAAAGAGTGTAAGACCTATCCTTGCGCGTAAGTGCATGATAAAAACACTGAACAAAATTGTTACGTTGCTGCGAGGATGTATAAAACGACTGAAATTATCAATCTATCAGCAAAATATCATGGAATCTGTCCTTAAGGCGCTGAAAGCGGGTTAATGGCATACTTGCTTTAGACTACAAAATTAAAATTACTAAAACTGTTTCTAAATATGTGACAGAAATTAGAAACTTCGTGCAAATCTCCTGTTATTGCACCATCTTTGCATATGTTAACACCAATAACACGTACCCGGTACCGAGGAATTATTGAATACGTGTATTGTACTTAGTACTTACCTGCACAGCACACTCGGTAGCGCTCTAGTGGACATAAATCGTGTAATTATATGAATTATATGAATACTAACAAGCCGAGCACGGATGAATATTGGCTGATGACTAAAAGAATTAAGTAATTCCAAGGATGTGTTGAATTCTAGTTGCTTACAAACTGCCAAAAAATTGCGAAACCTGTACGTGTATTTAGCAATAGTTATTTTGACACGCTGTAGTGATTTTACATAAGTTAATCGAAACATATACTCTACATAAGTTGCAGTTTGCGCTGTCGGCTGATACTGCCATTTTATCATGAATTTTTTACTTTGCAGTGTGCTTTAGCCTTTAAGTATTGTTGAGTAGGAGCACAGATATGTCTACTGTTCTGGGTCAAGTTTTGTGTTAGAACAGTATGCATTTCTTATCGCGTCCATGGTAACAAGCTTATGGCTGACCACTGGTACCCAGCCAAATGATTTTGGCAAAAGGTTAACCATCTTAGATCCACCGCTGCGCTGCAAGAATTCTTATGCACTTTAAAGTAGCAAAATTGGTGAAGTAGAAGCCGAGATCCTTTGCCTCAAAAGAGAGGGGCCGAAGTTCTGGCACAGATGATTATAATTATCTGTGCAAAATAATAATAAATATATGTGCATATAATTATCTGTGCCAGGACTATTATATGTGCATATAATTATCTGTGCCAGGACTGGCCCTCTCCTTTGAGGCAAAGGATCATGCTTTAAAAGTACATCAAAATTCTCTAGGTGTAGTGGTGAATCCAAGATTGTCGACTTTTTGCCAAAATCATTTGCTTAGGTCCAGTGGTCAATCATAAGCTTGTTACCATGGACGCGATAAGAAATGCACACTGTTCTAACACAACTTGACCCAGAACAGTAGAAATATCATTCTGTGCTCCTACTTAACAATAAGTGCGAGTACAATACAAAGTGAAGTGTGAAAAATTCATGTACTTAGTGTACTGTAACTTAACACGTTAGTCATCAGCGTAAACTGCAAGTTATGTACAGGTATACAGTCCGTGTTTCAATTAACTTACGTAAAGTGTATCATAATATCTATATTAAAGCCCAGCACGGATGAATATTGGCCGATGACTATTAAAAAATAAGTAATTCCGGAGTATATTCCGGAGTATATTCCCTTTCTAATAACCCCGGTAATTCTAAGGATGTGTTGCTTTGCGGTCGCTTACAGACTGTCATAATATTAATGAACCCGTACGTATGTTTAGTAATATTAATTATATGAATACTAATCATCTGTGCCAGGACTTCGGCCCCTCTCCTTTGAGGCAAAGGATCTCGGCTTCTACTTTACCAATTTTGCTGCTTTAAAGTACATCAGAATTCTCTCAATGTGGCGGTGGATCATAGATTGTTGATTTTTTGCTAAAATCATTTGGCTACGTCCAGTGGTCAGTCATAAGCTTGTTACCATGGACACGATAAGAAATGCATACACATCTAACCCGACCTGACCCAGCGGAACACTACTCTAGCAGTCTAGCAGTATCTTTGCTCGTATTTTAGTACAGTACAAAGTATCAGCGTAAACTATGTGTAAATAACTTCTGTACACTATTTAGCCAGTCCGTGTTGCGATAAACATACGTTCATTACGAGTATGTAAGAAAACGAAAAGCAAAGCATCTTTGTGTGTAATACTGATAGTACGTAAAGTATGTAGGCACTAGGCAGGTCACTGAAAACTATAATATCGCTCATTCTGATTGTTTCTTTCGTTTTACCGGCATAATACATAAAACTAGAAATTAAAGCATTGCAGTTAATAATAGTCGTACAAGCCAATATTCATCCGTGCTCAGCTTGTATTATGATACACTTTACATAAGTTAATCGAAACACGGACTGCCTACTTGTACATACAGTACTTACATAACTTCCAATGATGACTAACGCGATGATGATTGACGTGTTAAGTTACTTACATAATTTTTTTACTTTGTATTGTACTCGTATACTTATTGTTAAGTAGCAGCTCAGATATTGCTACTGTTCTGGGTCAAGTTGTGTTAGAACAGTGTGCATTAGTGCCCTGCAACGGACTAGAAAACTTCGTTTAGTCCGGTCCAAACTTAAAAAAATTTATCCGAACCCAGTCCGACTCCGAATTGTGAAAATCTTACTCCGACCAATCCGATCCGTAAATTTTTTGGCCACTCCGAACCCACTCCGATCCGCTCCAAAATTTTTCCCAAAAATATTTGATACAGTACACATCTTAACTTTACAGTATGCAGCAGTCATGCAGTCATCAAAAAATTTGTTAGCCATTTTGACGATAGTAAAAAGACAGACTTCACAGTTTGGTCTTTTCTTGGGCGTAAAATATGTTACTTTAGAGGATATATAAAAAAACTTTTTTAAAATTAACTTTAAAGTTTTTCTTTACACTACAGTGTAGTAGGATTTTGGAAGGTAGCTACCTACTCTTAGTAGAATTTTGGGGAGTTAGCTACCTATTCTCACTGTCAGAAATCTGTATCAGATCTTTTTATTGTGTACGGTTCTACCCACGGATCACCTACGTAGAGGCCAAGGTAAAAACGAGGAAGGGATACTTCTAATCGTCCGCAACTGTAAAAAACGGTAGGTTCATGTATTCAAACCTGCTCTTTAGGCTTAGTTTAACATATAAATATAATATTATTATTACCGTTGTCCGTTATCACCGGTACTAATCGAATTACTAGTGCTACCACTATAAGAAATGGAAAGCCGGTGGGTGCCCAGTTAAATTGTCTGAGCAGTGAAACGAATGTTGGAGAGCGTACTTTTGAAGTAAATATACAAAAAGTATTTAGTAAAACCATAACGACTAATACCACCACAGCAATCATAAAACACTCTAATTTTAAAAAGTGTCAAGGGAATTAGGAATAGAAAGCGAAAGAGAATTAAAAACAGTTAACTAAATAAAAACAGATACTTTGGCATTGTTGTACACTGTATGTTAACGCAAATGAAGGCTCGCGCGAAGCGCGAAGCTGACGAAGTTTTTTGCTTGCAAGATGCGCGAAATTCAATAAAAATTAATTAATGATAATTATTTATTACGGATAATTCCGAGTCTTGATTGCATCCGAATCCGATCCGGTCAGATGCACATAAACTCCGAAACCACTCCGAGTCCAAATTTTTGAGAGTGGAATCCGTCCAATCCGATCCGAAAATCAGAGTGGATTCGGAGCGGTTCGGATTTACCAGTCCGGTGCAGGGCTCTAGTGTGCATTTCTTATCGCGTCCATGGTAACAAGCTTATGATTGACCACTGGACCTAGACAAATGATTTGGGCAAAACGTCAACAATCTTGGATCCACCGCTACACCTAGAGAATTTCGATGTACTTTAAAGCAACAAAATTGGTGAAGTAGAAGCCGAGATCCTTTGCCTCAAAGGACAGGGCCGAAGTCCTGGCACAGATAATCAGTATTCATATAACTGAACATACGTACGGGTTTATTAATATTATGACAGTCTGTAAGCGATCGCAAAGCAACAAATTCTTGGAATTAATGTACTTATTTGTAATAGTCATCAGCCAATATTCATCCGTGCTGGGCTTGTTATATGAATACTGATTATCTGTGCCAGGACTTCGGCCCCTGTCCTTTGAGGCAAAGGATCTCGGCTTCTACTTCACCAATTTTGTTGCTTTAAAGTACATCAAAATTCTCTATGTAGCGGTGGATCAAGATGTTGACTTTGCCAAAATCATTGTCAGTGTGGTCAATCATAAGCTTGTTACCATGGACGCGATAAGAAATGCACACTGTTCTAGCACAACTTAATAGTTTAATAGTTTCATCTCGGTAGCAGGTAACCCATTAACCTGCTGTGTTTTGCATACACAGCATGGGAATTTATACCTGGCCGAACACAACACACGAACAGTAGACTGTGACCAAGAACAGTAGAAATATCTGAGCGCTACAGTACTTAACAATAAGTAAGAGTACAGTACAAAGTAAAAAATTCATGTATAACTTAACACGTTAGTCATCATCACGTTAGTCGCATTGCAAGTTATGTACTGTATGTACAAGTAGACAGTCCGTGTTTCGATTAGGTAACTTATGTTAAGTGTATCATAATATAGATATTACTAAACATACGTACGGGTTCATTAATATTATCAATTATGACAGTCTGTAAGCGACCACAAAGCTACACATCCTTGGAATTACATATTTTTTAATAGTCATCGGCCAATATTCATCCGTGCTGGGCTTGTTATATGAATACTAATCATCTGTGCCAGGACTTCGGCCCCTCTCCTTTGAGGCAAAGGATCTCGGCTTCTACTTCACCAATTTTGCTCCTTTAAAGTGCATAAGAATTCTCTCACCGTGGCGGTGGATCTAAGATTGTTAACTTTTTGCCAAAATCATTTCGCTAGGTCCAGTGGTCAGTCATAAGCTTGTTACCATGGACGCGATAAGAAATGCATACTGTTCTAATACAATTTGACCCAGAACAGTAAAAATATCTGTGCTCCCCTGAAACGTATGTACAGTATATCTAAAAAGGCAGTCCATGTTTCGATTAACTTATGTACAGTGTGTCAAA